TCCTGTCACTGGATCTAACCAACGCCTTTATCCACTGTGCCATGTGTTCTGAAGAAGGCCGGAGTGTACAACGGCCGAAACGTTGTGATAAATATGGCGACAAAGATGAGAACAATAGTCCGAATAATGTAAATAATGTACATAATACCTCATCTCAGAAATATAGACAGACTCTGAAAGATCCTGGAATTTTAATTTCTCAATATTTCATAAAATTAAGTTGGGGGTTATCAGATTTGATTTTTGCAAGGATTTTTAAAACCATGTGTTTTTACCGCAAAAAAAATTGCTAAATTTTCCATACTAATCTTTGACTTATCACCAACAAGATTTTTAACCAAAATTTTGAATGTGCTAGAAAAGATTTAAAAAATTAATAGAATAATAAAAAAAATACTTTGTTCTTTCTTTTTAATAATAAACATTTTGACAATAAAACTTTGTTTTTATCAAATTTACTTTTTTTTCATCATGGTATGCTCTTTTTTTTAGAAAACTTTTGGAGGTACCTATTTTAAACTTTGTTTCAAATCAGATTAATTATACTTTAAAATCGGTTAATATTCCTCAAGTAACCTTTCAGAAAACATTCTATTTTTTGGAAAATTTTTTAATAAACAATTACATTAAATTGCAGGGAAAAGTGCTTATAATCCATTTTAGCTAAAAAAAAAATTCTTTCTATTCAATTTAAATTAGTTTTTGAAATAAGCAAAATATTATGCTTATTGGGAATATGAAATTTAATCTATTAGTTGGAAATTAAAACTAAAATAAAAGTCCCAAGAAAGATTTTGAATCTTTAAAAATTCCTTTTAAACCTTAGGTATTGAGGGTTTTTTTTTTTTTTTGGCAGTCGCTATGTTATATAAATTTATGGAGGAGGAGGAGAAAAAGAAATTACACCTAATGATATTACTGTAATAGAAAAAGAAAAAGTACTAAAGATGTAAGACAAAAAAAACTTCCTTGGAATATTCTGGATCAGAATATATATATATATATAAGTGAACATTGAAGCAACACTTAGAGGCGACAGGCTGTTTCATGCTAGATGCAGTCGTCAGGCCAGGAGTGTTTTCCTCATGGCCTGACATTTGCATCTAGCATGAAACAGCCTGTCACTGCTTTAGTGTTCAATGTTCACTTTTATATTTACCTCTCTATCTCTGATATTGAGCACTTAATCCGATAAATATAGCACACCTTAATATCTTTCTTTAAATATATATATATATATATATTTGTATAATTAGGCAATCAATCCTTCCTTTATGCATGTTTCGTTAAAAACGACAGACAAAATACTACAGTTGAGCTTTTTATTTAATTTTCTTGTGTTCTGACAAGAGCTTTCTTTTCTGGACAAAGTGTGTAAGAACTGTCCGAATGTTCTGTTTTCCGAGCGCTTTCGGCTATACTTTTAGCCATTATCAAGGATGGTTCAATGATGGATATTCATTATCAAGTAGAGTGTGTGTTCTATGTATGTTCAGTGTGTGGTAGTGATGTTTTAGTTTCCGAATATAGTTAGCACATTGTGGCTTTGTTCATAATTGATATTGTTAAGAGTTGGCTTTTTCTTTTTTATTATTAGAGCTTCCATTATTTTTAGTCTTTTTTTGCAAGTGGAAAACCAAACCGGACTCATAAATAATTACATCGGCTACACAACCACATGTTTATCCAGACGTCTTACATTACACCTATCTGATCACAGTTCCATCAGAACACATTTAAACACACACTCAGATTTACCCGACACTATTAGGAACATACTAGTAGAAAACACTAATATATTAACTGCATCCACTTGCAAAAAAAGACTAAAAATAATGGAAGCTCTAATAATAAAAAAAAAAAGCCAACTCTTAACAATATCAATTATGAACAAAGCCACAATGTGCTAACTGTATTCGGAAACTAAAACATCACTACCACACACTGAACATACATAGAACACACACTCTACTTGATAATGAATATCCATCATTGAACCATCCTTGATAATGGCTAAAAAGTATAGCCGAAAGCGCTCGGAAAAACAGAACATTCGGACAGTTCTTACACACTCTTTGTCCAGAAAAGAAAGCTCTTGTCAGAACACAAGAAAAATTAAATAAAAAAGCTCAACTGTAGTACCTTGTCTGTCGTTTTTAAAAACATGCATATATATATATATATATATATATATATATATATATATGAACATTAAAGCCAGCACTCAGAGGCGACAGACTGTTTCATGCTAGATGCAATCATCAGGCCTGACAATTGCAGCTAGCATGAAACAGTCTGTCACCTATGAATATTGACTTCTATGTTCACATTTATATTTACATATGCTCTATCTCTGATATTGAGCACTTTATACCATAAATATAGCACATCTTAAAACTACATTATATATATATATATATATATATATATATATATATATATATATATATATATATATATATATAATATAAAATAATAATAAAATGAACAGTAAGATTTACAATCTGGTGTTCTTAATAATTATTTTATTTTTAAAAACAGTGCTTGATGCAAAACAATAGCACATAATATTATAATTATTTTCTATTTTAAAAATATGGCTCCATCACTACACAGGAAATACCATGTTTCAAAACAGAAACTAAAATTTTAAATTTAATTATAAAATTAAATTTAAAATCCATAGCTCCATTCCATTCCCAAGTGATTTTTGGAACCTTTTTTGGAATCACTTGAGAATGGAATGGAGCTATGGATTTTAAATTTAATTTTATAATTAAATTTAAAATTCTGTTTTTTGTTTCCGTTTTGAAACATGGTAATTCCTGTGTAGCGATGGAACCATATTTTTAAAATAGAAAATAATACATATATATATATATATATATATATATATATATATGGTTTTAATGGTCAAAAGATTGTAGTTCAAGATGGAAATACATAAGCACAAAAAATTAAGAATGGAGTTAACTAACAATTATTCTCTTTATATATTTATTTAAATAGTAACAAATTGTAATGAATATTGTTATAATATATTAAATAATGTGCAGTTTAAATATAAATAATATTATTATTATTCATGAATTTATACATTATTTTTTTTTGACAATCTTTAACCTTCATGCATGCAAAAAACACTAATCACTTTTTAAAAGAATAAACATTGATGAAGAGTGAAGGTAGTTAAAATAATAGCAGTGTCAATGGAAAAAGGTTTTCCTTTTAATATTATATATTTTTGCAGGCATAAAGGTCCAAGTTTTCCTCATTTTTTTTTTTTATTATTTTACTGACAGTTTACCCATTACAAACCCAAGATATCTAGGGTGATCACTCAAGATCTTTTACTTATGTGATTTTCATATAATGCATGGACAATCCCAGGTAACCTTGCTAGCTATTCTATATTTATTTGGTTGATATTGTTCTTTAATGACGTAGTGAATTACAAGTGAGAGTACTGCCTCTTTTATCTCTACCTACACTTTCCAGACTTCAATTAACTGGATGTGCAGGACTAGACCATACTACCCCTGAACCTGAAGCTTGATTGGGGGCCCTGGGCAGTGTATTGTGACCCTTACTAGCTTTTTTTTTTCTACATATATTTATATATGTTAAAAATTAAACAAACAAAACTGAATATTGAAGGATTAAAAATTTGTGGATTTTGAAATTGTTGTAGAGTAGTTTCACAGTGGAGGCTTGTGTTTCACTAAGTCAGTCCTAAAATAGGTTCAACATACAAAACATTAGGAACTTGATATAATAGGTAATGACACAGAGAAATCTAGTGGTGGTCGCTGATACTTTTAGTATCCAACTAATGGTCGTCCAACATCAACTGACTGACCAACTACTCACTGAGCAACTGCTACCACTCCTACTTATTATAGGTGAGAGAGTCTATTAACAATAGAATAGGTGTGTTATACTATAACAGAAATCATTCTGGAGTCTTCTTCTTTTTTTCTTTTTTTTTTTTCCATCCAAATCTGTGAATTTGTTTTGCTCATGCTAAAAGTCTAAAAAAACATTATTTTTTTTATCCATAATGTTGAACGTGTTAAAATTATTCAAATTTTAACAAGAAAAATCTCCAGTTGATGTTAAGAATTGCTGCAAACCATTTAAAATGGAATGGCATGCCTCTAATTTATATTTAGATACATACTTTTCATTTTTTCTAGTTGAACTGTTCACTTATATTGCATATGATCCATTATTGTACAGAATTAGGTTACAATTGAATAAAATGTATATTTTATATGAAAATTGAGAGTTACCCCATAATATAGATTAGGTGGGGACTCATGAGGCCCTTGCACTGGCCTTGTGGATTTGAAATAAAGAGAAAAATTGAAATCATCCAAACATTTTCCAATTATCCAAACTAAACCCATTCCAATATTTCATCTCAGACAAGCATTTTGAGAATTTAGAAAACCATTTTCAACATTCAAATTTTCAATTTCAAACACCAAATTAATGATTGTCTTTGACAAATATTTAAGTTGGTTGCACTTTCAACTTGAAGTTACCCTTACAAATAAATGTACTTTAATCCAGCTTTGGAAATTAACGACAGAAAAATGTAAGCCAGCTGGAAATGGATAAAAATTGACACATTTCTTTTCATCAAAAATAAACTTGATAAAATCTTTAACAAGAAAAATGTTATTTGCTAACATGAATTGCTTTTTTTTTTGTCATTCATTTTTTATAATATAGTTATTTAATCATCCAAGATTTTGAATTATCTGGGCATATTTATTCAACACCACTTCTCTGCCAAGATGTTTGGATAATCTAGATAATCAAAGAAGTCTTTGGATTATGATAATCTGAATGTCTCTGACTTGCTTCAAAGTGAAATAAATCTTTTACTTCCTTTGCAGGTGGTTTATTTTACTGCTACCTTTCCATACATCGTCCTGACAGCCTTCTTGATACGTGGAATAACACTTAAAGGAGCTACTGCTGGTATTTCTTACATGTTCACACCCAAGGTAAGTAAAAAAAAAAAAAAATCTTAAAAGATTTGATTGTGTGCGGGGATGATTTTAGTTACTGACCCCAACCAGTTTTGAATTTTCTCATTTTGAGAAAGAGATTTTAGAATAATCCAGTTGGATTGGAATCAGTGTCCCAAAAAAGAAGACTCAAGATAAACTTTTCCAAAACAGAAATTATGATCTGGAATTGGAATGAAAGCAGTGATTAAAATAATAGCAGTGTCAATGGAAAAGGGAGCCTTTTTACATTACATATTTTTGCAGGCATAAAGCTTCAAATTTGCCACCTTTTTTTTCTGATAGTTCATCCATCACAAGCCCAAGATATCTAGGTTTAATCACTCAAGATCTTTTACTTATGTGATTTTCATATAATGCATGGACAATCCCAGGTAACCTTGCTAGCTATTCTATATTTATTTGGTTGATATTGTTCTTTAATGATGTAGTGAATTACAGGTGAGAGTACTGCCTCTTTTATCTCTACCTACACTTTCCAGACTTCAATTACCTGGACGTGCAGGACTAGACCGTACTACCCCCGAACCCGAAGCTTGATTGGGGGCCCTGGGCAGTGTATTGTGACCCTTACTAGCTTTTTTTTTCTACATATATTTATATATGTTAAAAATTAAACAAACAAAACTGAATATTGAAGGATTAAAAATTTGTGGATTTTGAAATTGTTGTAGAGTAGTTTCACAGTGGAGGCTTGTGTTTCACTAAGTCAGTCCTAAAATAGGTTCGACGTACAAAATGTTAGGAACTTGATATAATAGGTAATGACATCTAGTGGTGGTCGATGATATTTTTAGTATCCAACTAACGGTCGTCCAACATCGACTGCTACCACTCCTACTTATTATAGGTGAGAGAGTCTATTAACAATAGAATAGGTGTGTTCCACTATAACAGAAATCATTCTGGAGTCTTCTTTTTTTCTTTTTTTTTTTTTCCATCCAAATCTGTGAATTTGTTTTGCTCATGCTAAAAGTCTAAAAAAACACTTTTTTTTTATTCATAATGTTGAACGTGTTAAAATTATTCAAATTTTAACAAGAAAAATCTCCAGTTAATGTTAAAAATTGCCACAAAACATTGTTGATTTATTTAAGATGGAATAATATGTCTCAAATTTGTATTTAGATACGTACTTATACTCTTAATCCATCATAAAATATTTCAGGATTTTGAATTAGTAAATACTGTTGTAACTTGTACTCACCAAGAAGCTCGATTTAGAGAGGGGGAAGCAATGGTTGTGTGGTGGTTGGTCAAGGTAAAAAAGCAGGAAATCTGTTTTTTTTTTTTTGGTTTTTTTTTTGTCGACCAGTTTTTATGTTTACTGTTGTAGTAGATCCTATCTGATTGGATAAATGAGGCTAGAATACATTGAAATGAGACAGTCTTGAAATCTATGAAGGAAATCCCTTTCACCCCCCAGAGAGTTAGTTATTTTGTTAAGACTGTTAGTCTCTTACACTATTATACTACTGTTACTATTACAAGGACAGCTGTTGCTTTTAAGCAATGAGGCAATTTGTTGCAATCTCAAACCATACCCGGGGATGCTGTGAAATGCTGCTACAACAGGCAATAGTTCTGTCTTTTTTTCTCCTTTCACATTGAGCTTCAGGTACAACACTTTTGAGTTCCCCCATCTCCTCTCCCAAATCCGTCAGTATAAAAAAATCTGACAATACTAAACACTTAAAACACTTGGTGTATTATAACAAATTTAGTATAGAAGAAATGGAAAATCAGCATAGAAAAGACAGTGCTAGAGGCAGTTTTGCCCAACCCTGAAAATTTCTACAAAACCAAAACATCAGCCTGCGAATTTGATTTATGTTCTTAAATACACCCTTGTGCAAATTGATTATGTTCTTAAATACACCCTTGTGCAAATTGATTATCTTTTTAAATACACCCTTGTGCAAATTAATTGAAACAAAACGAATAATTCCATTATTATTTACTTTATTTTCATATTTTTCCAATGAAACCCAGTACACATGTTAGTACTTCATATGTCCATTCCACAAAGTTGTTCCTTGCAGATTGACCACAGATTCTCAATTGGATTTAAATCAGGAGAGTTTTTGGGCCAGTCTATAGTACCTTGATTTGCTCACTCTTAAGGCTTGCCAGTGTGTTCGTGTGATGTTAAAAATTTTCATATGCATCCTTGAAGTAACATCCATCACAGATAATGGCCACAGGACAATTAATCGACAGTTGAGACAATAGTGTTTAGGTGTGCTAAAAATCTGATGCAATCACGGATGACGCAATATTTTTCAAGGCCAAAAAATTTCATGCACCCCAAAAATAGATTCATGTTACTGCACACCACTGCATATGACCTAATCTGATGAAAAAATACTTGACTTGAACACTTGACCATATGGTGAAAGAAAGGAAACTAAAATGGTTGTTTCAATTAATTTGCACAAGGATGTGCCTTTGTCAGATTGAAACTTTCATATAGATGATATGTATGGCACTAAACCCATTCAGAAATATCTAAAATGTCAGCAGCATACAACCACTTTCTCAGATTAAAAAAAGCTTTAAACCAATGAAGCATGCAGGCCTTCTTCAAATACTGTGGGCTCACACTACAGAATCACAAAGAAAGAACTGCACCCAATAATAGAAGCCAAATCACTTGAGGACTTTCAACAGAAACAGCAGTTAAATGTAACTCAAAGAATAAATAATGACAGAATCAAGATGTTGACATTCCCCAATATTTCAAAAAAAGGTTAGGAAGGAAACCCCCATCAATAAATTTGTTACAATGCAAAGAATTATCGGAGTTAATAGGAATAGTCAGTCTAGTCCTAATTGAGTCAAAACCATCATATATATATATGTGTGTGTATGTGTGTGTGTGTGTGTGTGTGTGTGTATAAAGACAAAAGGAAAAAATTATCTTAGCTGATGCGTTTTGTCCTCTGAGGGACTTTATCAAGGCAAATGCAAGGATTTTATTTTGTAACAGGTATTTATATACAAGAACAGAAATGCTATTGATTATACAAAAAGAAAAATTTCAAAAACATCATTTACTCACTTTCATCTATTAGACATTGAATTGTGACACATTCATAACTTTCCTAGACTTTTCAATAAATAATTATCGTCTTTATTCATGTTGTCATTTTACAGATATAACCTATCTGAAATTTTACGCACACACACACACTTATATATAAGGCACGTCAGCGTAAATGACGGTTCCGTATAGGATGCAGGTTCGAATCCTGTCAAAGGACAAATATTTTCTATGAAAATTTCTTGGACATTCAGGCCGGTAAATGTTATTTAATATTGTTTATTATAAACAGAGCATTTACTTAAATACTTGTATCTATATAAAAAAGAAGGTTAAACATATATATATATATATATATATATATATATTTATATATAAGGCTATGCATGACCCAATGAGTCACTGAGTGAGTCAGTCGTTCACTTTTGAACCGACTGCTCGGTTGAACTCTCTTCCTTCGGAGAGGTAAACCGGCCCAGAACCCATATATGCGGGTTCAATGGGCATATTTTTGGCCGAGCCTGCGGGCTCGGAATGCCCACAGTAAAAAGGCCTTGTGCCACATGACACCCTCGTGGGGAGGTGACTCAATATCGTCACTGAGGGTTCAGGTTATAAAACATTGAAATTGATTTCAACATTAAAAAATCGAAGAAAGTTTAAATAAAAATACTGCATAAACAACTCGTATTTTAAAATCTTATTCACTTAAAATATTTTTAAATCAGATTAACTTAAAAATTTCTTTTTTAATATGCCAAAAAAATATTTTTAAATCATATTCATTTGAAAATATTTTTTAAATATTCAAAAGAAAGCTGACATATAAATAATTACTCTATAAACAACTGGATGAAACACCAAAGCAGGATCTCTTTGTGTCTGTGTTTAAATTAAGAATATTTTAATTAAAAAAAATTGTTGGTTTGAAGAAAGTTAAAATAAAAATACTTATTGTATAAACAACTCATATTTTTAAATCTTTGACAGTTTGACATTCCAACCACCTGAAGAAGACCGGAGTGTACAATGGCCAAAACGTTGTAATAAATATGGCGACAAAGATGAGGACAATAGTCCGAATAATGTAAATAGTGTACATAATACCTCATCTCCGAAATATAGACACATACTGAAAGGCCGAAACATTGTAATAGATATGGCAACAAAGATGAGGACAATAGTCCGAATAATGTAAATAGTGTACATAATACCTCATCTCAGAAATATAGACACATACTGAAAGGCCGAAACATTGTAATAGATATGGCAACAAAGATGAGGACAATAGTCCGAATAATGTAAATAGTGTACATAATACCTCATCTCAAAAATATAGACACATACTGAAATATTAAACATTGTTTATAGATATGGCAACAAAGATGAGGACAATAGTCCCAATAATGTAAATATTATAATACCTCATCTCAGAAATATAGACACATACTAAAATATTAAACACTATTTATTAGATTGATAGCAAAGAATTTTATATTTACAAATTCTAAAAACTAATACAATTGTATTAAACTAATTTTATTCATTTATCATTTACCAATTTATAAAGAAATAAATGTGAAAAACATTTTTATTCATAAATTTATAAACATTTACTAAATTATTAAAAGGAAACCCTTATTTACCATTTTCTAAAATTCAAATTGATTGACAATTAGCTGATGTTTTGCTAACCAATAAACAATCTAATAAATTGTGTCTATTATTTTTATTGTCAAGAAAAAAGGAAATATATAAATTCACTTTCATATGTTTAGGTTTTATTACAATTCTAATAATCCTCACCTTTTAAAACAATAAACATTGCCGAAGAGTTAAAATAAAAGTGGTGTCATGTGAAAAGCCGTCCTTTTGACACTGTTTTATTGCAGGCATGAAGATCCATCTTTTTTACCAACGGAATATGTAAGGA